CCCCCCCCCCCCCCCCCCCCCTTGACGTGGGGTTCAGGGCCCAAAAAGTTATTGGTATTTAGGGGGCGAACGGTGCCATTTGGTACGGTTTAGAACTATGATTCAGCTAGTCAATATCTAATTTCAAGAGGGGGCCATTGGTGTGAGTTTTTTTCAGAAATCGAAGAGGGGGTCAGGATCTCCGACACCCCCCTAAATACGCTGCTGAGTGTAGTGCATCTTGTACAGTGTATTTACTCGTAGTCTCTGACAATGATAAAACTTGGATATTTAATTCCGATCATATGTTTTTGATTAAACCAATAAAAAAATAACATAACTTAATTGTTCATTGGATTCCCACATTCATATGTTTAAATTGTATTGCAGATAAGGCCTATCAAGAATTCCTTGATTACCTAAGAGATACAGAAGAAAAAAGAGAGTGCTGTTACGCTCTTTTTGACTATGGGTACACACAGGAAAATTCAACGTGGAAGAGCTCTATTATTTTTTTCAGCTGGTGAGTAATAATACCATAATACATTTACGAGAAAAATAAATCTTAATGAACTTCAATTAATCTGTGCTTCTTCTGCTAAAAATATATATACCCCGTCTAATACGTAGTCAACTTTTTTTATTTACATTATGTATTCTAGTCAATATTCAAATTAATAGCTTAATTGATAAGGTGCATTAAATGTGTCATTGTTTGCTTGTTAAAATAAATTACAATAATTAATTTTTATTTATCCTCTTGTTGCTAAATCTCATCCTGCATCACTGTTCTCCTACAATGAGCTATGCAGTTCTGTGACTGTACTAGTTAAATGATAAATTATATCTCAATAATTTTGAAGTTTTCATATTTATGAACTCTTATGGTGTACTTAACTCTTTTTATTAATTTTTTTACATTTGTATACCTTTTTTTTTTTAATTCAAGCCCATGCCTTTATTGAGCCAATTTTTTTACTTGTTTGACAAGAAGTGTTTAATGGTGCAGGGGGAGATCTTTGTTCATACTGATCAGAGAAATGAATAATATCAGCTAAGGAGAAATGTTGGTTTCTGACACTTAAACTTAAACACTTAAACGTGTATGCATTTGTTAATTAATAGTAAACTTCCTTTTTGGATATTGGGGAAGATTATGTTACTCAAGTCCATTGTTTTATTTTGTAGGAGTCCTGAGAATGCTATAATTAAACAGAAGATGTTGTATGCAGCCAGCGTCAAAGATTTCCTTGCAAAGTTGCAAGGGATTGACAAGAGCATTCAAGCCAACTCAATGGATGATGTGGCCGAATCTACAGTAAAAGCCAAGTGTTTGAAGTCATCACGTGCTACCTAAAGACAGACTGATATGAAGACAACCTTTTGGAAGAAAGAAGAACAAATATCGGTTTCATAATGAAACGAAGGATAATGATTTTGTCACTTACCTGGATAGATTTAAATCAGTAGAGACGATGTGCAGTTTTTTTCTTTATATGCCTTATTAATTTATTTCATTCTTATTAACTGAAACGTGCAATTGGATGCCTTGACCTGCCTTAGAATAAAGTGGTGTTACCAATTTCTAAATCTTGAACAAATATGACTATGTCTAAGGGACACCATAATTTGTCAGGTAAAAAAGTATTTTTTTATTTTTGATAATAAAAGATGGCTTTTAAGAAATAAGGTCTCTAGCTTTTATGGTTCCAGAATTCCGAGAGTTTTCATTGTCAGCACCCAGTGGCTGCTTCTCCCGTGAAAATGCACCTTTTCACCCAAAACTCGGGATGATGAAAGGTGACCCCAAGTCGGTGGCAATCAGTAGAACTAGTGTGCTCCCTAACGCAACTGCTGTAGTTGCGACAGATGATCGATCGCAACTGATGTGTAAATGAAATGTTAGCAAGAAAAATCCCGAAGAGCTCATTTCTAACAGCAAAACATTATGGATAATGATAAAGCGCCTCCTCCTCTCTTTTTTTTTTTCAAAACTTGGTAATTGTGACCTATGCATTCCTGAAAATCTCTTTTATCGGTAACATTTTGCGTCTTTTCCGTTTATTTATATTACTGAAGGGGATTACCCCNTTTTTTTCTTTATATGCCTTATTAATTAATTTCATTCTTATTAACTGAAACGTGCAATTGGATGCCTTGACCTGCCTTAGAATAAAGTGGTGTTACCAATTTCTTAATCTTGAACAAATATGACTATGTCTAAGGGACACCATAATTTGTCAGGTAAAAAAGTATTTTTTTATTTTTGATAATAAAAGATGGCTTTTATGAAATAAGGTCTCTAGCTTTTATGGTTCCAGAATTCCGAGAGTTTTCATTGTCAGCACCCAGTGGCTGCTTCTCCCGTGAAAATGCACCTTTTCACCCAAAACTCGGGATGATGAAAGGTGACCCCAAGTCGGTGGCAATCAGTAGAACTAGTGTGCTCCCTAACGCAACTGCTGTAGTTGCGACAGATGTGTAAATGAAATGTTAGCAAGAAAAATCCCGAAGAGCTCATTTCTAACAGCAAAACATTATGGATAATGATAAAGCGCCTCCTCCTCTCTTTTTTTTTCAAAACTTGGTAATTGTGACCTATGCATTCCTGAAAATCTCTTTTATCGGTAACATTTTGCGTCTTTTCCGTTTATTTATATTACTGAAGGGGATTACCCCGTGTATTTTCCCAAGCAGGGATGTTCCTTTGCATCGCATAACGAAAAACGAAAGCTCTTTTAAATTTCTGATTAAAACACAATTTACATGCAATTTTGAATATTTGCTTTAAATACAAACTTCTGAACACAATCCTTAGAAACATATAAGTCCAGTAGAACGTAAGACGTTTCTTCCAACACACTGATAAATTAACCAATAAGTAAGAGAGGTACATGCTCTCACTTCGAATGAAAGAAGACATTAATTCTTTTAAATATTCTATATCTGTTTTACTGCTTAAGCATAGAAGTATAATGTGAAGTTCTTATGATATTAATATAATCAATCATAACACGTGTTAAAGGACAATATTTAAATCACCATTTATAATTTTGTATTGAAATATCCATTAATTGAATTTGCAGGACGGTTCTTGCCAACAATGACTTAGAAATTTTCTCTCATCAATTCATCAATATACTTTCTAACAAATGACTTGTTTTCACTTTCTCCATTGTCTACCACAATTGCAATCATCAATATCAAAGACCCCATTCCCATAGATTTTAGATCGATCTATCCTTGTGGGGAGTCTCACTAGATTACTGTCAGCTTAGACGGCTTAAGCGTCTGTCCAGCCTACTAAAAGCTGTAAGGGGGTAATTAACTATGGTGCGCGCTCGGCTGACTGCAATTTAGCATGAACCCCCAGGGAGTTAGGTCGATCTAAATCTAAATCTCTGGATCGTTTTAAATCTCTGGGAATGCACCCAAAGACTGAATTCCCATTTTCCAAGACTACCAATAAAAGTTCATTTTGCTGTTTCCAAAATTTTAAATTTATACACTGCCACATCAATCCTCTCCAGTTTTTCGAAAAGTGTCTGCCTTGTGAGATGACTGACATAACTGTTTACGTAGAATCTTCCCAATGTTGCTCATTTCCAATCACTTTTGGATCTGAAGATTAATCATTCCATACAGTCAGCAGCTCATGCTTTCTAGTCTCCTAGTTACTTACAGATCAATAGATGAAATCCATTGATAATGGAAATTATTGTAAAACAACTGATAAAACTTCCAATAGTCAGACTGGGCTAATAACTCTGAAAAACTCCCAAACTTTTTACATGTCTGGTGTCAAATCTTTTCATCAATGCCTCAGCTTATTGGTTTAAGGAACATTGCAGCTTACTCACAATTGAAAAATTATTCGTAATTTATTATCAATGAAAGAGGAAGGACATTTCCATGTAAAATTCAATGGAAAGATGGCCAATAACAACAAGAAATGTATTCCTTTGGCATTTTAGATCACTGGAATATAAACTGTCTTGATTTAGCTGTAGAATCCAGTCACTTTTCTGCTAAAGCTGCATTGAACATGTTATTTCTGCAAGATAGCAAGTGCACCTAAATGCTGATGCTATGGTACAACACACACTCTGATCTTAACTTGTCCATCATTCAACCACTCCAGTTTGTTGGGTCACATGGTATAGAGTCTTGTAAGCTGAATTTACCTGATATAAACAATCAGTTTAGTTCAAAGGTCTTCCAGTTACCCAGAGTTCTGTAAATAGACAGACAAGTAACAGCACTGTCTTATTTCTGTATTCATCTCGGCTGTCACTGCAGGGTACAATCACGTATTATTATTGTCATTTCCCCCTTGATCTTCAAAGCCTTCACTCTCTGTGACTAGTGCTCTTTCTAGAATTACTTTCCCTTCTTTGTAACGCTGGTTTTCCTCTGTGGCAAACTCATACACCCAGCCAAGTTTTGCATCACAGTTTTTGCACGAAACATCTCGGACCATGTGTCGCCCTGTCAGCATCACTCTGTCCTGAACCTCACTGTAATTAAGGTTAACAACTTTGTTGAACAAGAAAGCTCTTCCTGTGGCTCCAGTGAATCTTGTGGAGATCAACTCAGCACGATTGGTCAGTGGGGTATCACAGCTGGCGCAAGAGAACAGCCGTGTGCCACCTATGTGATCCAGGAATATTCTCCCCATTTTGAAAACTGAAAGGGAATGGCACAATTAAGCACAAGGCTTGTGAAAATTAAGTTTGTAATAACATGACTAGCAGCATCACAGCACTCAAATTTCTAGAGATCTTACAAAAAGCAAACACCCCAAACACTGCAAACAGGTGAGAGTTGAGAAATAAAACTTTGGACAAAATTGTTTATAAAATTGGAGCAATCACATGTGATTTGTCATTTCTGACTGTCAAAAAACATGTTCTGAAAGTTTACACTATTATTTTTTTATCAATGAAAATGTCAACAACAGGCCTCCAATGGTTTAGAATGTGTGGCCTAAGTGGTCTAGTTTTAACAAATAAATAAGACAGAATTTACAGGAATGCATAAATAATTGACAGATTTCATGGATGTTGTTTTTCCAGACACTTTGTCAAGTACAAACCGAGCGTATTTTTCTATTGATCAGAATTTCTAACGTACACATTAAAGCGCCCTATGTTTATGTTTTTTCAGTGTCTTACCCTGTCATATCCCTTGCATTATTGAAACAATGGCAAATCTAAACAAAATTAAAAGGTCATCGCCATCTTGATAGTTCAACTCAACATCGGTCGTTTGTTTACAATTTTCACTGAGCATGTACACAGTTGGTTATGCACCTACCCTTGGTTGACAAAGCTCTGGTTATAAAAATTGACTTATTTGTTCCACTTGCTCAATGTATAGCATCTATTTAATTCCAGTACTTATAGAGAGGTCAACTTTCTGAACGAGTGTAGAGTCTGCTGCTCCAGCTGATCCAACTTCTCCCTTACCAAAACATTCATGACGTCATCTGGCACGTGTTTCTCGCGGGAAAAGGATTTGCAAGATGATTTCACATTGACTGTTTATAAGAAATATTGCTATATTATTGACAGGTTAAACGTATGATGTCGTATAAAGTAGCATTTTTTTCGTCAAAGACTAAATTTGTGTCGCAAAATATCAGACCACTTAAATTGGGTCAAAATACATGCGCATTGATCTTTGGCGTCAACTTCCGCTTAGGTGAGTCAAGCCGACAACTCAGACAAGTCACAAGAATTCTGAAACCGGGGCATAGGCACATAGAAACACTCCAAACAAAATGTGGTCATGGATAGGGAAAGACGAACGGCGAAAGAAAGAGCCGGAGGTATTCGCCACCGTGGTCGACGGGTTGAAGAAGTTATACAAAACGAAACTTCTGCCCCTGGAAGAACAGTACAAATTTCATGATTTCCACTCCCCTCAGCTTGATGACCCAGATTTTGAAGCAAACCCTATGATCCTTCTAGTCGGGCAGTACTCTACAGGTAAAACCACGTTCATCAAGTATCTCCTTGAGCAGGAATTTCCCGGAATGCGCATTGGTCCCGAACCCACGACCGATCGATTTATCGTTGTGATGCACGGCGCCCACGAAGGTGTGACGCCAGGCAATGCCCTAGTGGTCGACCCAAAGAAGCAATTTCGACCTCTGACAAAATTCGGGAATGCATTCCTAAACCGGCTTCAGTGTTCCACCGTCAAAAACTCTGTACTTGAGAGCATCTCAATAGTGGACACCCCAGGTATTTTGTCAGGGGAGAAACAGCGCGTGGACAGGGGGTATGATTTTGCAGGTGTTTTAGAATGGTTTGCTGAGAGAGTGGACCGTATCATCCTTCTTTTTGACGCTCACAAACTTGACATTTCCGATGAGTTTCGGCGGGCCATATCTCACTTAAAAGGATATGAGGATAAAGTCCGCATTGTGCTGAACAAGGCCGACCATGTCAATGCTCAGCAGTTGATGCGTGTTTATGGAGCTCTGATGTGGTCGCTGGGAAAAGTGATCAACACTCCAGAAGTGGCCAGGGTGTATATTGGTTCATACTGGGACCAGCCTCTGCAGTACGACACCAACAGGAAGCTGTTTGACCTAGAAGAACAAGATCTCTTTAAGGATCTGCAGAGCCTCCCTCGAAATGCAGCGCTTAGAAAGTTGAATGACCTGATAAAGCGGGCACGTTTGGCAAAGGTTGGTATTTTTTAGGGTAAATTATACAGATAACTATATATTATAAGAAACTCAAATAACTGCTTAAATTTCTACTAGCCTGATTGGACTTGTGACTGAATATGTTTCAAATTTACTACTGCCAAATCTGTCATGTAGTTCCATTGGACCTGTAACTAACATCACAGAGTGAATATACCTTTATCATTTTTTATTTGTCACTTGAATGTCTTTTGACTTTCTATGTTGATAAGGTTTTCCCCTCTAAAAATTAAACATGATTCATAGGGAAAGTTAATCTTTCTTCCTGGTTCATTTTTTGTTTTATTAGTGCCTTAAGAGGATCCTATTATGATCTATGCCATAATACCACTTCAGTTCTAAACTAGGACAGCATGTGCTCTATCATTAACCTGTTTGCTTATCTAATCAGGTCTCCCTCAAGAATGATATCATGGATATTTAAAGATTAACTATAATACTCATTAATGGAACAGTTAAGGTTATGATGTTACCTTGTACTATATATATATTGTATCATACTTCATACCTATTTGGTTATATTACTTATGTAAACAGTGGTATCATTTTTTCAATTGATCAGGATTACAAATTAAATTTTCAGCCAGCTTGTACAGACTAATTTATAATTTTTTTCAGAATTCTTGTAAATGTTTTTAATAATCATATGATACTGAAACTTCAGGTAGATGTCTGTACTAAAATAGAAGTTGATGCTCTGGCTAGGATCAGGAAGTGTGTCACTAAATCTTAAACAGTCAGTAGGGATTTCTTTCCTTCTGGGAATCTTCCTCCCTTTCATAAGTATTGAAAATAAAGTTTTTAATATTTGCTTTATTCTATGTCTTAATGCAGAGCAACTGAGCCTTTATTTTTTGTTTTTCCAAGTTTAAAATCATAATCTGCCCCATAGACAACAACTAATTTTGATCTTCTATCTTCAGAGGGATCAAACTTTCCCACTTTGGTGCTTGAAATGTATTTTATCATTAAGGTAGGGCCCAATAGTGGAACAATAGAATTTTATAGGAGGACCATCCTAAGGGTTCTTTTGGCCCCCAGTACACAAATACTTTAGATTCAATTAGGTATCATTTGTTTCCTAAGTATGTGTGTACTAGTACTGTGTCATTCCCAGTAGTACCTACTACAAGATTTTCTCAGTGTTGTAGCTATTCAAAATATTAGTATTTTTGAAAGGGCGTGGGATCTCATTGAACTATGTAGGATTGTTGGTACTTCTTCCTATTGATAAAATCCAGACAAAATGCTGGCCTGGAAAATGTCATCTAATGCACTGTATAATATAGCTGTACAGTTTGGAAAGCGAATGATAGAAATTGTGGAAATGATGACAATGTGCTTTCCAGGAAATGAAGACCATTAGCATAAGCAGGGATATAGACCAATCTGGATATGAAAGCACATAATCTCACATGACTGTGCTGATTTCCTATAAAGTAGACAGAAATCATAGAAACAAAACTGGCTTCTTTGACCCAAACTTGCACTAAATTGTGTATGTTTTGGATGTGAAAGTGTACCAGTATTCTTAATCCTTGAACACTTCCATAGCAAACAAGCCATGATAGCCAAATGAAATTTATAGCTTTCCTAGGAGTCAGGAGTAATAGATCTAGTAGCTTCATGATTATGTTTTCCTATCTGGCTGGTCTATATCCCTCCCTCTACCCTTAATTGCAGTTAGACGAGTTAGGCTGTTATGCTTTGTTCTTTGTATGTTTGATTCTGTGTTGGTTGAATCTTGTATTTGTAATTGTAATAAGTGACATTTTCTGGTTTGCATGGAGAAGGGTGTTATCTGAGCCCAAATTCACCAACATTAACATCTTCCTTGCACTTGCTTCCATGAGTTATATACAGAGAATTAGATACATCTATATAAAGCTATTACAATGAACTATTTCGTCAGCATATTTTCAAATTATTCATACTATCCGATGGTTGTCAAGCTGACAACTGTTGAGATGAATTAAAAACATGAAGACAATTCCTTGTCTTGAGAAAAATATGAGAGAAATGGTCTTGATATGTGAAGGATGTGATGACTGTGTTGTAAAACATGTGAAGGTCATATGTGGTATGTATAGGCTGCATGTTGTCTAGTAGGGATAGAGTGAAACCACTGGCTTGCATTCAACACATAGTATAGTCTCAACTAAGGAATCACAGGACAAAATGTTTATATTTTGGTATCAGTTATTAACGATATCTTATAAACATGAGATAAATATATCAAGATAACTTGTGTTATCAAAAAATATATTTAGCCTTATAATTTACAATGTAAACTATTTTTCAATTTACTTTTAAATACAATATACATCAGAAAACCTCATAAAATCTTGATAAAGATCATTTCACAAATTATATTGATCATGATTATTTTATGAACTCCACCACATATAACCGTGGAAAGCAGTTGCACATTCCACCACACAGTGAAATATAGTGGTAATTTAGGCTTCATATGACTTTATGTTATAGTGCCTGGGCCTGAAGCCAGCAATTTCAGGCTCTTCCTGAAAAAATGGACCTTTTTACCATAATGGTATTGATTCAGGGTAGATGTTTTCCTGGCCCAAAGGATAGTTTGTCCATCTCCCCTTCCTCCCCCATCCCCAGCCCACCTGCTGGAACCTCCGCCCTCGTCCTGCATGCCTTGTGCCATTATGGTTACCTTTAGTTGAATATCTAGGCAATCAGTGTCTACAAAAGGCTCATTGTATCATATACATGCTGCAACAGTTGAACTGTGATATTTAATCCAGAAATTACGACACAAAATGGGATGTATGTAATGACTGTGTGCAGGAGGAAGTTCCAACTTGAGGTTTAGGAATGTAAAATGACTAATATCATGGCAGAACTTGAACATGAGCAGGGCATGGTGTACATGTATCTGGCAAAAATGCATGCACCACACAAATGAGCAATACTTATCAGAAAGGTGTTTGTGATGCCCACTTGTGCTTTGCACCCATGTATGCGCACACACACACACACACATATACTCTTTTCAGACTATTGTAGACTCTATTACAGAGATGCATGTGAAATACACATGATTTGCAGTATCAGGTTCTCATCACTGCTGCTGTATTTATTATGCATATATCAGTAGTATTCAGTCATGTGCCCCCTCCCCCTCTGGCACTGATATACTATATATTGCACATAATGGTAGATTGATGACCAGTACTATGATATCAACCCAATTTATCAACTTGTCCAGACACAATATTTGGATATATGTGAGCTTGTAGGTGGCGTTCAGCCCAACATAACCTCATGTTCAAGTGCTGATGAATGTTTGTCTTTCATGTTATAAATAAGTTTAAAAGAGTATATATATTTGTCATTTCAGGTGCACTCTTACATCATAAGTGAACTCAGAAAACAGATGCCATCCATGTTTGGCAAGGACAGCAAAAAGAAGGAGCTTATAAAGAACCTTGACCAGATCTACAATGGCATTCAGCGCGAATACCAAATCTCGCCCGGCGACTTCCCGGATATCAATCGCATGCGAGAGCAACTAGAGCACCATGACTTCACCAAATTCCACTCCTTCAAGCCGAAGCTGGTTGAAAATGTGGACCTCATGCTGGCCAATGACATAGCGCGTCTCATGCAGATGATACCCCATGAAGAGGCCGAGATGGCAGAGCAGCCCAGTGTACAAGGCGGAGCTTTCGAGGCATACAATGAGAGCCCCTTTGGAATTGGCCGAGGGGAGGGAGCTGATGCAGGACGAGGTGAAGAGGAATGGATCGTGAATAAAGAACGACACGACTACGATGACGTATTCCAACGACTTGGACCCATCAATGGAAAAATCACTGGAGCTGCAGCTAAGTCAGAGATGGTTAAATCGAAGCTACCCAACAATGTTCTTGGAAAGATCTGGAAGTTGGCAGATGTGGACAAGGATGGCATGTTGGATGAAGATGAATGGGCTCTGGCTCAACACTTGATTTCTATTAAAGTAGATGGACATGATCTTCCCCCTGAGTTACCGTATCATTTAATACCTCCATCAAAAAGATGAAATACCTAAATTGTTTATATATTTTAATGAAGAATATTGGTTTATCTTTAGAATTTCATCATTATATGTAACCCTTTCCAAAGTCAGAAAAATGGTGAAAACTACCCTAAATTGGAATACGGTCAATAATCAAAAACTACAGTCAACAAAGTGGCTGTTTTGATCAAAAGGTAAAAACATCTTTACTCTTTTTCCCATTATCATTTTGTCTTATGTACAGTGGTTCAGTGTATCAACCTTTGCTCATTGTTGTACACATGAAATTGCCAAAAATATAAAGAGAAATAATGTATGTTATACATGTTGTATTTGGCTTTGGTCAAGTTTCCAACCAGAGTATGAATTTGCTTTAAAATTTTGGCACTAGTTCTGAGAAGAGAAGAGAAGAGTTCAGGGCATTAATTTTTTTTCACCAGTGCAAAATAATGAAGTGCAACCATTTCATAAAAGTTCAGTGTAATATTCATGTCATGAACAGTGAATGTGGTCTTTATGCTTTCAATCTGACAGAATTATATTTTGTAAATAAGTCATCGTAGCACTTGCACATATGTTTTACCTACGGTGCTTCTAGTTGCACTTAATACAAAGTGATAGGAATAGATATTGTTTGTACATTAATAGATGTGTACCATGATTGCCTTGAGAATGTTAGGTTGTCTATGTACATTGTATATTGCTTAAATAATACCATTGATTGTCTGTGTTGAAAACTTGCCTTGATGAATGTAGAAGTAGATGTAGAGAGTAGATGCTTGTCAGAATAGACATAGAATGTTGAACTAATGGACTGTATATAGTATATTTATAAATCATAGAAAATGTACTTTTCATTACTGTAACAGCTACAATACGGTATCAAAATGGTATAATTAGCCAGTGATGAAGGTCTAATCCACCTGGCTTTAGTATATGGAGATAGTGTTATTCACAGGCTCCATAAACACCATTATAATCTTAAACATCGAGGTTTTAGGCTTTGGCTGTTGGAAATTCAGGAGTATCTTTGTCTTGGCACTTCCTGGTATACTTCCTGTTAAATGTTCTGCTGAACTTTTTGTGATAATGTACAGTGGACTATTAGTGGTTTGTGTTAATGTGGCAATGTTAGTGTCTACTGTATAAGGCTGAGGTTGTATGTTATCCCAAATGTTTTGTTAGAGCAAAATACATGTATAGTATTAGTTATTTTGTCAGTGTTGGTGAAGTACTTTCATTTTCCCCCAATATAATTGATAACCAGGATGAGGGGGTTCGGCAAATTATTCTTCTTTTCGATCTCTTATGAGGGGAAAATGACATTAACTTCCTCATTAAAACACTTCATGCTGTGTGTTGTCAATCTTCACTCTAATGGTCAGCAAGGTNCACACACACACTGCTGTTGGAACCCCTGTCTCCATCCTACAGGCCTTGTGCCATTATGGTTACATATATCCAGGCATTCAATGTCTACAAAAGGCTCACAGTATCATATACATATTGCAACTGCGATATGTAATCCAGAGATTACTCCATTGAATAGGATGTATATAAACATTACGGCACCATTAGGGGAAGTGACTGTGTGTGCGAGAGGAAGTTCCAACTTGAGGTTTAGGAATGTCAGTTGACTAATATCATGGCAGACCTTGAACACAAGCAGGGCATGGTGTACATGTATCTGGCAAATATGCATACACCACACAAATGAGCAATACTCATCAGAAAGGTGCATGTGATGTCCACTTGTGCTTTTTACTCGTGCACACACACACATATACTCTTTTCAGACTATTGTAGAATCTATTACAGAGATGCATGTGAAATACACATGATTTGCAGTATCAGGTTCTCATCACTGCTGCTGTATTTATTATGCATATATCAGTAGTATTCAGTCATGTGCCCCCTCCCCCTTTGGCACTGATATACTATATGTGGCATGATGCACATAATGGTAGATTGATGGTACTATGATATTAACCCAATTTATCAACTTATCCAGACACACTATGTTGATATGTGAGCTTGTAGGTGGCATCTTTTTCAAGTACTGATGAAGGTTTGTCTCTTGTGTTATAAATAAGTTTAAAAGAGTATATATATATATTTGTCATTTCAGGTGCACTCTTACATCATAAGTGAACTCAGAAAACAGATGCCATCCATGTTTGGCAAGGACAGCAAGAAGAAGGAGCTTATAAAGAACCTTGACCAGATCTACAATGGCATTCAGCGCGAATACCAAATCTCGCCCGGCGACTTCCCGGATATCAATCGCATGCGAGAACAACTAGAGCACCATGACTTTACCAAATTCCACTCCTTCAAGCCGAAGCTGGTTGAAAATGTGGACAACATGCTGGCCAATGACATAGCGCGTCTCATGCAGATGATACCCCACGAAGAGGCCGAGATGGCAGAGCAGCCCAGTGTACAAGGCGGAGCTTTCGAGGCGTACAATGAGAGCCCCTTTGGAATTGGCCGAGGGGAGGGAGCTGACGCAGGACGAGGTGAAGAGGAATGGATCGTGAATAAAGAACGTCATGACTATGATGACGTATTCCAACGACTTGGACCCATCAATGGAAAAATCACTGGAGCTGCAGCGAAGTCAGAGATGGTTAAATCAAAGCTACCCAACAATGTTCTTGGGAAGATCTGGAAGTTGGCAGATGTGGACAAGGATGGCATGTTGGATGAAGATGAATGGGCACTAGCCCAACACTTGATTTCTATTAAGATAGATGGACATGATCTTCCCCCTGAATTACCATACCATTTAATACCTCCATCAAAAAGATGAAATACCTAAATTGTTTATATATTTTAATGAAGAATATTGGTTTATCTTTAGAATGTCATCATTATATGTAACCCTTTGTTAAGTCAGAAAAAATGGTGAAAACTACTCTAAATTGGAATATGGTCAATAATCAAAAACTACAGTCAACAAAGTGGCTGTTTGGATCAAAAGGTAAAAACATCTTTCATTTTTTTTTCCATTTTCATTTTGTCTTATGTACAATGGTACAGTGTGTAAACCTTTGCTCCTTGTTGTTCACATAAAATTGCCAAAAACATAAAGAGAAAGCATGTATGTTATACATGTTGTATTTGGCTTTGGTCAAGTTTCCAACCAGAGTATGAATTTGCTTTAAAATTTTGGCACTAGTTCTGAGAAGAGAAGAGAAGAGTTCAGGGCATTAATTTTTTTTCACCAGTGCAAAAAAATGAAGTGCAACCATTTCAGTGTAATATTCATGTCATGAACAGTGAATGTGGTCTTTATGCTTTCAGTCTGACAGAATTAAAATATATTGTAAATAAGTCATCGTAGCACTTGCACATATGTTTTACCTACGGTGCTTCTAGTTGCACTTAATACAAAGTTATAGGAATAGATATTGTTTGTACATTAATAGATGTGTACCATGATTGCCTTGAGAATGTTAGGTTGTCTATGTACGTTGTATATTGCTTAAATAATACCATTGATTGTGTTGAAAACTTGCCTTGATGAATGTAAAAGTAAATGTAGATAGTAGATGCATGTCACAATAGACATAGATTGTTGAACTAATGGACTGTATATACAGTATATTTATAAATCATAGAAAATGTACTTTTCATTACTGTAACAGCTACAATATGGTATCAAAATGGTGTAATTAGCCAGTGATGAAGGTCTAATCTACCTGGCTTTAGTATATGGAGATAGTGTTATTCACAGGCTCCATAAACACCATTATAATCTTAAACATCGAGGTTTTAGGCTTTGGCTGTTGGAAAGTCAGGAGTACCTTTGTCTTGGTACTTCCTGGTATACTTCCTGTTAAATGTTCTGCTGAACTTTTTGTGATAATTTACAGTGGACTATGAGTGGTTTGTGTTAAAGCGGCGATGTTAGTGTCTACTGTTGGCTAAGGTTATATGTTATCCCAAATGTTTTGTTAGAGCAACATACATGTATAGTATTAATTATTTTGTCAGTGTTGGTGAAGAACTTTCATTTTCCTCAATATAATTGATAATTAGGATGAGGGGGTTCAGCAACTTTTTCTTCTTTTCAATCTCTTATGAGGGGAAAATGACATTAACTTCCTCATTAAAACACTTCATGCAGTGTGCTGTCAATCTTCACTCTGATGGTCAGCAAGATTCAGTCATAACTGTTTAAGCTGGAGCAGGTTACACAGTTGGGAAATTTTTATCTTGTAAAAAACAAAAAAAAAAAAAAAAAAAAAAAAAAGAAAAGAAAAGAAATACCCATAAAATATTTTCAGTCCCAGAAAGCATTTTTGATTGGCTTTATCTGCTAAAAATATTGGGGAAGTAAAAATGCTTATGATACAGAATTTTTATAAACACATTTTAAGTTTTAAAAAAATTGTGGATAGATTTTTGATTTCTGATATTCTCTGAAGAAACAAAAAAAAACATTATTATTTAAATGGGATAAAATGAGAAGCCCCCCTGTGAGAAGCATGAAAACGGTCCAACAAATAAACTTGCATTGTAAACGGAGTTTCTGTTAAAAGTAGTTGTTTGTTATTCTCTCATTTATTACAGTAGCTAAGTGTGAATATCAGGGAAATATGAGGAGGAGGTTACAAAGAAAAAAAAGGCAAAATATTCCATTGTGCCAATGTTGCTTGAAGTCAAATGGGATTGCTGGGCTTCAAATATTGTGATTTGGTATGTTTACATGGATATATGTAGGTATGTAATATGGGCTATGTTTACCATGTATTTTCAGTAAAGAATATGAACAATCATTTTTGCTTTGCAGGATGTAGAAAGTAAAAACTGACTGAGCAGAATGCTTTCTGTCTCAAGAAAAATACTGTAGTCTAGATCATTAAAGCCAGTAGCCCTTTTTTTCTTTAACTTCAGAACAACATTCTTGACATGAGCATAATCCTTGTAGTTAAACACTTCTTAGATGAATAGTTCGGACAAAGAAGGCAACATCACAAGAGTCAAAAGGACACAATTATAGATTAGTGTATGTTCTTGTGTTTTGTAGACCTTTTGTGGAGTTCTTCGTTGAGTGTTTCATTTCTGATAAGTTTACCTGGGCCCTGTATCTCGAAAGCTTTGCTATGTTGCGCACGTGCAAAAGTGTCTCGATACCATGACCCCGTATCTCGAAATAGAATCGGTTATGGAATCAAGACACTTGCGCACGTGCGCAACATAGCGAACCTTTCGAGATACGGAGCCCTGAACATTAATGCATGTGGCTTGTTGGTGCCGTCTACCAAGAGGCCTTTCAGTCCCAAATATGTATGGAGAAATGTTTTTCATGTAGCTTCTTGAATAAAGAAAATAACAAATTATCAATTTTTTGTTTATTACTATATTTAAACAGTTCCAAAAGATTAAGTAAATATCATTATTCATGTAACAACTTTCAGAAATGAGAAGATTTTTAACATGAGTTTTAACTGTACAACTTTATTTGACAGTAATGAAAGGTAATTAAAAGTACAAAAAATGATTTTTTGAATGAAAATAAAAACAAGAAACCATTAACCCTGTAACAGTCCATCCTTATACCTCGATTTTTCATTACATGAAAACAAAAAATTATTCCAAAATGGAATTAATGCTCCTCATGGAAATGCACTCCCACAGAAAAAGTATAATAAGCTACTATACTGCTAGGAATTCTATTACATATAGGAGTACTATGACAATTAACTATGTGACCTTGTGGGACTAAAATATAAGAACATGAGCATGTTACAGATCTCTTTCCATGTTGTTTTTTTATTAAAAAAGTACTTTGGAGTCGAGAAAAAATATCACAATTGTGAGTCACAAACCCTATCAAAAAGTATAAAGATACAGCACCAAATAGAATCACTTTTCAACTAATGAAAAGTAATTGGTTCTAAAATTGCAAAATAAAACATCAAAACCAAATGCTTGAAACCTCTATGTTATGTGACCTTGCTTTTAGATCTTGCTCTTGCTATCATATTTTGTGCATAGTGGACTTAATAAAATGCGAAACTGGGACCTAAAACACAAGCAAATCATTTTCAATATATTACAATATAACCTAGAAAATAACTTACATTCACTTGTAAATGTTTGTGTGTGTTCTGCTAGTGAATAAAAATCCCATCAGAAAAGTGGAATACTTCTTGATGATCAAAATAATCCCCACTTTAAACACCAAAAATAGTGAAATCTGAAACTGAATCTCAGGAAATGTTAAAATATTTTCAGTCAATATAAAAATGTCCTTGGGTCCATAAAGAAGTTCCAACTACTTGGGTCCATGTCCAACTTTAAAAAAAAGTGTTACAAGCCAATCATCATGAAACATTAGGACACCTTTTATCCTTTTTCCCCCTCATTTTCTTTAAGGTCCACAACGGTAATAAAACCATTATGCAGATGCCCATGTAACAAGTTTACAATTCAGAAAAAAAAATTCAATCACAATATTGTAGAACAATAATTTTGACTTAGCTGTTGATTGATGAAACTATTATAAAACCAATGTGCAGCAGTCTTCCACACTGGAAGGCATTCAAATTGAGTATTTCAAGAGATATTTTACAAGATCACCCGAACAATGGATGAGGTATTTTGCATCAAATAAAATGGGGCCAGTTTCACAAAACAGTCATGAGTTTTGCCATAGCTTAGAACAATCAGACAACTGACTTCATAAAGCTGACTTTACAGAGAAGTACATTCTACAAAAACTAACTCAAAATAAATGAGAATTACTATAAATACCAATAACTTCCAAGACAATCACAATTTTTTCTTGGGGTGAAAACCAAGAAAAAGGGGTAAAATAGGTGAGCAGCCTTGTACTAGATTCTCTGCAAAATGCAACTTAGTTATCTAATTTTCTAAGCAATCTTGGCAAAGACTGACTTAACCTGTTTTACAAATCAGGACCCTTAACTATCTTCCTCATTGGCACCAAGATGGATCCATGATGCATTTTCCCCTGAACCATCTATGCATCAACTTGTTCTTAGTATTGAGACTTTTCATGTATAAAGTGTCCTTTGATTCCTGCCACGATTTTGCTTCAGTTTGTGTCTGAAATACGTAAGAAAATGGAAATTATAATTAAATTACTTTTGTAAGAATGGTCACTAAAATGAAAGTTAAAATAACATTCTAGCTGGGAAATCAGATATTACTTATCTAAATCTATATCTTAATGTTTCACCTGATACCAAAGTGTCAATTTGGTTACGGTATGCAAAAATATAGTTCAACATTAAGTAATACAATTTTTTCAGTGCTATAAACATCTGGTATCACTGTTATCATGTTTCTGGTAAAGAATATCTGCAAACTGATATCAATTCTAAAAAGTGTATTTATTATGTTTTTTTACTACCATTGGAGGAGGAAAAACCCTCCTGCAGTTCCGCCTGTCTACATGCTCCATATATGCCAACTGTAGTGTCAGCCTCATGTCAAATGTCAGGCATTTCTCACACAATTGACACTCCTAGAATGCAAGATTATGACCAACTTAATAATGTGAAAAAAATATGTAGCTTTGCTTGTTTTCCATAAATTTTAATTTTTATTGACAACCTTTCATGAAAGTTAATCCACTTTCTAATTCATTTTTCCACTGACAATGAGACAAAGAGCAGTTACCCAATTTCTGCCAGTCATGGGTTTGTGCCTATTTCCAGTGATGCATGCGCAATCACAAACCACAAGAAAAAGTGTTAATCGTGCATTACCAGAAAAAGGCACAAACCTATGACCAGCAGAAATGAGTTAACTGTGTATGCACATAATTTTCTGTGGAAAGTGAATGGATTGTCTAATGACAACTTACTCTTATTCCACTTTTGGATCAAAATGGTCCTCAATTCAAGTTCAAAATCAACTTAAAACCCCACTACATATAATGGCAGTGTCAACCTGTCTCCCACAGATGTCCTGCCAAAAGATTTATCAGTGTCTGTACAACCCTGAGAGAGAATTTTATTTCTATAACTCAATAATTCAGTATGCCATTATATACAAAAGAATACATTATTATAATTTTTCAAAAGACCTGATACATGACATACCATGTCCTCACAACTTCTCTGGCACTTAGGAGACAAACAGGTCTCTGTGAACACTTGGACATCTTTGGATGACACCTGCATGTTGATCTCATCAGTATAGCTGAATAATAAACAAAACAAACAATTAATAATAATAGTAATAAAAATTGATTTATGTATATTTTTCTTACTATCAAATAGATTTTGAAAGTTTAACAAAGACAATGCTGCATCCTCATCATAATAATTCTCCAAGTCACTGATAGATAAAATATTCCCAGTTAAAGAAAAAAGCAAAAATATCATTTCAACAGGATGTCTAACAATCTTAATAGGTTTTCTAATAAGTTTTTCTCTTACCTCTGGTAGATGCTATTGGTGACTCCCCTAGCCACACCCACAAGACTTAGCAAATTAAACACCACCTGCTCATAAAGTAGTTTATTCTGGGAGAAATGACCCGAAGACAAGTTGGGAGACATGTTCACCTGAAAACAGATCAATTAAGAAATAAAATACATGTGTATGTCTAAATAATATACAATCTAAATAATAAACATGTACATGCTGTGTAAGAAAACTTTTAGTTCACAGGTAACTTGTAATAGAAGATAAAGAAACTTACAAGCCCAAAGATGACATCCATAGATTTGATGATGATAAGTACATAATCTATAATGACATTTACACTAGTTTGGTCTGACTAGTACCTCTAAAATATATTTGTTAGATCACTGGCAAGTTGGGTTCCCATGCACTGGTAACTAATGCCACAGACTGCACAGAAAAATTTGACTGTTCTCTATCAGCAGATGTTGATCATTTGTATTAGTGTTTTGGCTTACAAAGCAATTTTAGCTGTCTGCAATAATGTCCACATCAAGAGGGAATAGTAAAAAAACATCTTTCAAATTAAATTAGGACTCTAAAAATAAAGACAAAACTTTCATAAAAAAAGGTCTAAACATTTCAAATAAATAATTACCTCCATTAAATATATGTGCAAATCTTCATCCACCACAAAGTCAAATCTAACCATTTCAAAAAAATTTCTGAAAGAAAACAGCAATTTATGTATGTGTGCTGTTTTTGAGCAAAATGTATCACTGAAAAATATCATAATAAAAGTTGTGAGACAAGTCTAATTTTCAAATGATAAACAAAAGTTCTTAAAAAATCTCACCTAGTTGACTTGTATGACTTAGCTGCTCCAATGAGATTAGGCTCCTTTGATAAATATACCTCCATGATGGCTTGCCTTATATCATCCCACAACTTGGTATCATTGCGCCCTGTGTCATATAAAAAAAAGAAAAATACTCAGATGATGATATGGTGTATTTAAAGACCAATTGTTCATACTGTAATTTGAGAAATAATTATATTCTGAACATACAATAGAACATCAACTGTGTTCTGCAGTACATATTACATCAAAACTACAATAAATGGCTTTCGTCTTTTAATGAGAACATTACTATTTCTTTTAAAAGTGGACATTAACATAAACCTAGAGCTAATTCAAATTCATGCACTACAATGTATAATTACTGGCATACAATAACATTTTTATACAATCATTACTGTATCATTAAATTTAATTAAATAAATTACCATGCTGTCTTAGGTATGTGCTTATTGTTTCTTTATGAGTGTGAGCATTTTGCTCATAGATATTCTTTAAACTTGGCATCTGAAAGTGATAAAAGGATTTAAGATTTTCATGAAAGTTTTCTGAAGTTTTTACCTCACAATAATGAGTAACTTGTCAAACTGTGACCACTTAGGGGTCAAGCTACAGTGTACCATAACGTGCTTTGGAAAAGGGGGCTGTGGAATCAGAGTTAATTAATCTATTTATTAATCCGTCTCTAGCACAAAAAATATCATGACCCCAAATTTGTGCAGTGAAACAAATAGTTATAAAATGAAGACTACTGAAAAATGAACATTCAATGTATGGATACGTTTCAAATTCTACAAGATGAGCATAAATTATACAAGACTGTATTTTACAGAGGAATTTTCCATTTTAAACAGGCACATCAGTTATTTCCAGCACTCCTACCTGCCAGGTGGGGGTGTAGTCATCTCCCACCACATACTTGTCTACATTCTCAGGGTCAAAAGGATAATAATCCTGGGGACAGAACCTGAGAAATAGAGAAATATGCTTTAAATACTAAACAATTATTTTTTGTTCTGAAATTTGTCTTACCATGACCAAATATAAGAGTATTCATATTCGTTTGAAAAGTTTTTATCAACTGTGTATTCCATTAGAATTTTTTTTTTTCAATAGCTTGAGAAATAAATATACTTTCCCACACAATATTTAGTCTAGACTACTTAGACTTTGTTAGGGAATGGGGCTGTGATAGCCAAACGTAACCAGAATTACAAAAGCTACTCAACCTTTATCTAACACTCATTAGGGAGGAGTCAGTCAAAAGGGGTGGGGCACCTGGCTTAATGAGCACGCTAGGGGTTGTCACACATGTGAAGTACACATATTATTATTATTATGTACAATATGTGTATTTAACATCAAGTTCTACCACTCAGTTAACATGAATTTACCTATCTCACCTTATAAGCACTTCACTGTCCAGAATGTACACTCTGAGAGGGTCTATGGAGGTAAGAGTGGTATAGATGCCAATGTCAAACTTCCTGTTAGAAAAAAAATATGGAAAGCTGGTCTGAATTTTTAGTGGATTAAGCTTTTATTGAATTAAATTATCATTTCCAGTCTAACATGTAAGACCAACTTAATTAGCATTAATCGGTTCTTTTTCAAACTGATAGAGAAACCTAGTTCACTGCAGTGGAACAGTTTCATACAGTGCTGGGACTCAAAATTTAATCAAAATTACTTGACATAAGTGTCTTTGTAATGTGGCATGAAGTTATGCATATATATATGCTTTTTACACATAGGGAGAGTACAGAAAATACTGAAACAATCACATCCACAGAATAAAATTGAAAATCAAACCTTAATAAATCAATATGTTACTATTTAATAAACCCTACAGCATCCTCATTTCGAAAGTTGTTACAATTCTTCAAAAGTTTTCTATGCAACTTTCCCATTTTTAAGTTCAAACTTTCAAACTTACCTTCTATCGATGAGAAATGGCTTATCAACAAACTCCTGGACAAATGTCCCACCTGATGACAAGTCTAGGTCTGAAATTGTAATCAAGATTTGACATCAGACAAAGAAATCTGCTGCTACATTTTCAATTTCCAACAGAAAAAACATTTACTATGGTGCATCCATCTCTGTTTTCAATGTTACNAGTGCACGGCGACGACAGACGCAGATGATGGCTATATGTACAGACACATCTGTGTCTGTACATAAAAATTTGAGAAAGCATAATAATATGCAATGTATACATTGTAATGCATTCTAGAGACTATGGACTTTATTTTCTAAATGCAATGGACATTTTAATTAAAACTGCAACCTACAATGTACAGTTACACTCATCAGTATTGAATAAGACAAAAATACACATCAGATGGTACTGTAGCCATTATAAGAACAAACAGGTAGGTATCTACTTCCTGAATTTAAAACAAAAATGCTGAACAAGAGAATGCAAATTTCACTTATAAGCAAGCTACTGCTCTCAGTATTATTATTATTATTATTATTATTATTATTGTAACTCACATACTGAAACCTAATTGCAAAGTATGGACAATTGATACCTGAGATCTTCTTTATTTTGATTCCTCTGTGATTGTTACTTTTTTGGACCCACATTTTTTGTGGGTGCTCTCCACTCTGAAATTAACCAACAACTTGTTTATCACTGGCATTGATAATTAATATAATTTTCAAATATCAAACAAGGCAGCAAAGCTGTCAAATGTACAGACATAAAGCAGAAAATAATAATTCACAAAATTTTAATTTTAACAAAAAACTATATAATTTCCAGAAAAGTTAACCAATAAGACAGATTTTCCCACTGAAGCTGTACTTAAGTCCTGTTTCTTTCCTGTAAGAGTGAGAAGAGTAAGTGACACGGTTTTCCTTTAATGGTCACTATGGAGGCAGTGCCCAAAATAGGGTTTTCTTCAATTTTGATGCAATATTACACAATGCTTAACAGCATAATCACCATCAACTTTTAATAATAAAATAAAAGTATCATGGACATTCCAAAAATTTGACTAGCAAAAGCCTATGGAAGTTCAGAGTCACACCTTGAAAAATGCCAAAATGTAAACAAGAGATAACTGTACTCAGATGTGTTTCTTTCCATTTTCAACACCTTTTTTTTTTACATAAAACAAAATATTCAATTTACTGTCATTTTTATATGATCAACTAAGAAAATTGTTGACAAAAGAAAAATATCAATAGAACAATTTTAAATGTCCAATTTGATCCATTCTGAGATTCTGAACATAGTGAATGATTGAAACTGACAAACTGCAATGATGAGTTTATTTCCATTTTTAACTCTTTATCACACAATACACAATACACAAGAACAGGTTTATTGTTTTCATTTTTCATTTCTTTTGTGATCAATTAACAATATTGTAAAGGTGCAGAAAATGCCAAAAGAACACTTTTACATATCTAATTAGTTTAATAATGAGACTGTTAACATGCCTGAGAATTAAAACTGAGGAAAAAATCACTTATATACAAAAAAAAAAAAAAAGGAATAACTCATCAAAACTAAACCAATCAAGCTGATATTCAAACTCAACCTGTATATTAGTAAGATTGATCACTCCAGTGACAATAAGTTCAAGACAATAGGCTTATTGGTTTTCCTTGAAATATGTTATCATTGCTACGTAGCAGCTGAAAAAAAGCACAAAAAACTTTTGTAAAAATAGTCTGATCAAGCTGATTTTCGAACTTGACCTGTATGTTTGTAAGATTGATATGCGAATTTTAAGACAATAGGGCGATCGGTTTTCCCATATTAATGTCAACTTTGTAAATGTGAAAATAAAAAAAATAAAAAGTTAACGCGTCAGTGTTTGTCCTTCTTTAACTTCATATTTTTAGAAAAAAAGGAGGTTGATCCATATGTTGTTACTGATATCAGTTTTATCAAAATGTATGGACTGAACTGAATTAACGGTAGAAAACAAAGAGTTTTTATTCAGGCAATATGGTGACATGAATTGACTTGGTATCCATTTCTTTATTGTTTCAATAAGATATGCTCCTTTTCATTACACATTTTCTTCTTTTCATTATTCTCTGCATGGTCTTTTGTCACACAGGTTAAAGCTGAGATTTTGTTTCTCTTCCACGTTTCCATTATCATTGTCTCCTTCCATATCACTGTACACCCTATCATCCATGTGTCAAGTGAAATTGGAATCCTTGTTACTGTCAAAATCAAAAAGGGGCCATTCTGGTCTCTGATTGGTTATGGACTGCAAATTCTGTGATATAAAGCCCCAACTTCATGACTATTATCATCCTTTAGACAGTTTCTCATTTGTTCAATATCTTATTTTCAACTATACACTGAAGCATAATGGAAGCTTTTTTGGACAATTTGGATGAATTGAATTTCACGAAACGACCTCAAACTTGTACCTCACCGCTGTTGTAGGATTTGCCTCACTGGTCGTTAGCCTACTTGGAATAATGGGTAACACTCTGTCTTTCATAGTATTTTACGAGGAGAGAGCAAATACATCCACTGATTATCTTCTGTCCTGGACAGCAATCACGGATAATATCTATCTAATCACAGCAATATTTACTATCAATTTACCTGCTTTGCATGTTTATTGGGGATGGATTGACTGGTACTTTGTTGCAATGCAGACAACCACTGTTTATATTTGGCCAATTATGCTGTTTGCAAGACTTTCTTCACGATGTCTGCTATTTTTTGTGGCATTTGACCGTTATCTTGCAATTAACAAACCTATAAAAAGCATGGAGTTTCGAAAGGTAACAAAATGGCGATGGCGGACATACGTTTTACTGACACTGATTGCTTTGTATCACCTTCCAAAGTTTTTCGATACTGAATTTGTTGGGTTTCGTCCTTGTGAACACAGCTTGAATGACTTTTGCCAAATTGTTCAATTGAAGGATTGGCCCACTGGTTACAAAATTACTTACCGCAGGGTGTTTCCTTTCATTATCAACATTTCACTAATTGGATCCATGCTCATTCTTTATATTAATATTAAAATGCGACTGACAATGACCAATTCTACATGTGATAACTCCAGCCAGATCATAAAAATTGTGGTATTACTGGTGACATTTTATATACTAGTCTCGTTACCTTTTAGTTGTGCATGCTCCTTTTTGGCTCTTTTAGAGAAGATACCGGGACACTGGACAAAACCCATGGGATTTTTTCTAACAAGTCTCAACTCATCCATTAATTTTTTCGTTTATGGACTGTGTGGTTCATCATTCCGTAAAAGATTAAAATATTTGGTGGGTTTTCAGAAATGAAAATAATGACAAAGTTTAAAGACAAACAATGTTCACTAAGAGCTTAATATGGCAAAAAAAGAAAAAACTTCAACAGTTTTCTCATACTCACCAAGGTATACCCTATTCTGAACCATTGAGAAAATGAAGTGTATTTTAAACTTTATATCATTATTTAGGACAACCTCATTGGAAATTGTCAGCTTCCATCTCTAATACCATTTCTGTTTCATAAAATGTTGCAAGTTACAAAGTAAAGAAGTATAACTAAGGTGCAGATGTAACAATTGCCCTAAGATGGAGATGCAGGAGAAGTCTGGTAACGTGGCTCTGAGAGATAAAAAGAAAACAGTAGCCCTAGGCCTTCAGCTCAGAAAAATCCAGACTATGGCAAGAGACCAGAAAAGAAGAACTCAAGCAATCTATGTTGGCAGTGAGGAGGGTTGGTGGAAAAAGCTCTTAAAGAAAGGTATACTATGAAAATTAAGTATCATGTGTGAAAAGAGAAATTAACATAATGATTTTTAACCGTGAACTAATTTCACCACTGGCAAAGAAATAATGACCAAAAAGATGCACTACATACCTTTTATGGAACGTCATTGTATTCCATAATTGCATTTATGTACAATTTCCATATATATCATGTTGAGTTTTAAAAACAAATTTATTTTAGACTTACTTGTAACTTAAATTCACTCTCCATGTTACTTTATCTCTTGGGCCTAGTGATTGGTCAAAAGCATGGGAAAGCCCCATGGTCTCAGATTTTGACTTTGATATTTCTAGTAAGCATCAAAATGGAGACAAGTGCTGTCCATTTTTTATTTATTTTTATTTTATTTATTTTTTTTTTTTGTAGATTTTAACAGCATAGTTTCAAAGAAATTTAATATAAATAATAAAAAACAATCTCTTGTGACAAAATATTATTAAATTTTTACTTCAAACCTATTAGTCTAATGTACATTGTCTGTCTTAAGGTGGATGTAGCATAAATTAGTATCTTATATCCGTGGATTTGAGGTTAAATAAAACACAACAGTGACCAGTGTTGCCATCACCATTAATATCATTGACAGATGACATCATCATTGATCTTTTGACTGATCAGAGAAGGGAAAAGCTATCATCAATAAGATGACAACTGCAACTTTTGATATCATCCTAGAGGACAATGACATTCATGCAGGTTTTGAATTAATACAGCAATTACAGACTTCTGCATTCAATCAATATGTTGTTTTGCAAAACTCAGAAAAGTGATATCAAAATCTAACGTCGGAAAGCAACATATCAACCTCAGCCAGTCAATAACTGTTTAAGTTAACAAGTATTCAATGTATCTTATGCACCATGCATGTATGTACACCAACACTTGCCAATGTGTCAAGGCAATAAAACGTCAACTGAAGAATCTTGTCTGAATAATGATTAAATCAAATCATACTGGACAGCTCAATATCTTTTTTGAGCTGTATGTCAATCCTAAGAATCATTCTTGTAAGTTAAAAAAATAATAAGTAACAGAGTTTTCTTTCCATAACGTTTATGGTGGCAGTGCACAAAGTAGGTTTTTTTGTCAATTTTGATGCAATATGACATAATAATTAACTGCATAATTACCACAAATTCTTTTATTATCTACTATTAATAACATGGATTATGAAAATTTGATTACCACTGGGTTTCTAGTTTCACTGTATTATACTTACATATTTAAGCAGCAGAGGCTTGTCCTGGGGCATCTTGAAGGCTTTGGGAATAAACCAGATGTCTGAGGTAGCAAGGTTCACCTTGTTTGTGATATACCCAGTACCTGGGAAGTGATTCACCTGCAAAAATAAATAAATAAATAAATAAATAAATAAATAAATAAATAAAATAAATGAAATGTTATATATAAAATTATATAAACTATATTATGAATGTAAAACAATGTATTTAATCTTTTCTTTCATGCTGTTTCTATTTGTGTTTCAAGAGATGCTAAAAAGTACAAAGGATGCAACTTATATTAAACAAAACCATTTTAGATATGATGGTCAGGTTACAACACTTACAAAACAAGTTCCACTAATACGTCTTTCAAACCTTTGAGCTTTAAAAACATAACATAAAATTTATTTTATACCTTCTGGTGAGGCTGGAGATTCCTGATTTGGGATTCAAATTCTTTAAAAGGATAGTCATGTGACCAGAGGACATCCCAGACATTTCTGTCTGTTCCTATGGAGTAACCAATGCGTTCAAATACATTGTACACATGCTTTAAGTAGCCAGTCTTTTGCTGAAAGAATAAAAATACTAATCAGATAATTGTGCATATAAACCTACACCATTTACAAAAATGAAAAGCAAACTCAGCTGAAATTCTCTAGACATATCACGCTGTAAAAGAGCCCAAACTAACAACAGATTTTCCTTTTGTTTTTATTCTAGAATGTGCATGATTCATTTATCCCTTTATAAAATAATAAAGGTCAATTACTTTCAGTTACTTGGACCAAAGATTTTAAGAAATTTGCATTATGTATTTAGGTGTATGACAATGCTAAATTCTTTTCAAGCATATAATATCTAATAATCAAATATTCTGTCAAGATATCAAATCAAAACTTATAAATATCATTTCATCTTGTGTTCCACAACTGATAACATTTCTACTTCAAATCTTGATTCACTTCCATTGGCAAAGCTTCATGACAGACGTCAGATTAATTCAAATTTAAGCTGAGTAAAAACTAATTCAAAACGTTAACATCAAATTTCTAAAAATCAAACTTTTTAAACACTTGGTGAATAAATAAACAAAATGATAAAAGCAATGCCATATCAATTATTTAATTGTAAAATGATATTCTGTTATCAAATTAAAAATTCAATTATATAAATGTCAATTAATGTATGTCAATAAGGAGTTGATGAATATCTAAAAATAACATATAACAAAACCTTTTTGAACCTCTAATATTGTCTGTTGATAGATGGTTACTCTGACAGTGTTGCTCTTTCCTCAAAGAGCAATGTAATAGTAACCATCTATTGAACAGGCACTGTACGTCCACACATAATTTTTTTAAAAAGATGTGTATATCTTGACAACTATTCCTAACCTTTACTGTCAATGGTCGGAGCTAAAGAAAAACCATACAAGAGAAAATAAAACAGTATGTGAGGATGACAGGAAAAGGTTGATGTTATATTCTCAATAAATAATTTTTGTCTGGTTTAGAATTTATTCTTAGTCTCTAAGGCTCTGTTCTCACAACTTTTAGATCGATCTATCACCGCGGGGAGTCTCACTAGATTACTGTCAGATAATCCCCCTTAAGTGTCCGTCCCCGCCTACTACAAGCTTTAAGGGGTAATTAACTTTCGTGTCCGCCCGGCTGACAGCTATTTAGCGTGAACCCCCAGGGAGTTAGGTCGATCCAATGTAGGTCGATCTAATAGGGACAGTCGGGCTGACGTCACGCGCCTTAGCAACCGGCATCTGGGGTAAAACAAATCGGGCAACATGGCGGATCGCATTGACTTCTGTGTAAAAGTTGGCAGACTTTGTCCGAAGATATCATACTTCACAGTGCCTGACCACTTGTGTCAGTAAGAATGAGTTATTTACCTGGTCGATTTCTTTTACAGGCCTTTGTAATTAGCCGCTGCACACCTGGTTAGGAGATAAAATCGGTCTTAATATAACTGCCGATCGTTATCTGTGATCGGGAAGTTTACAGCAGAAGATTTTGCAAAGGCTGTGCTTGACCTTTTGTGTCTGGCGGGTTGAATCATTTACCTGGACCATTGAGTTAGCAGACCTTTGTAATAAGCAACTATTTAACTTGTTACGGGATATAGAATTGGTCTTAACTGCATAAGCAAATGTCCACCCTAAGTATATGCATGTACACAAGTTGGTGATATAGGAATGGCTTCTTAGAACGTGGATCGTAAGAAAGACCTCGAAAATGAGCAACACTGAGAATTTATTAGAATAAGATTTCTACAATTGTGATTAAATCACCTGCTGCTGCAATAGCCAGGGGAACGGGATAGGGGCAATGTCATCGGTCCCATGGCCTCTTTGGTCTGTATGTACAGTACATGTATATTAATGCAAGCCTGGAAGGACAGCATAAACAGTTGCTTGCTAACTTTTTGGAAGAGAAGACACGTGGTGTTACCTGTATTAATATTACTTGATAACTTAAAGAATTAGACATTAACTCACAGGTTTGTCAATATATTGACGTGTATATTTTTTCTTATCTTTATAACGCCCTCAATTAACTTACAACAAAAAAGTTCGACGTTATAGTCCATTGATTTTAACTAAAATAATTGATATACCGTCACACACGCCAACACAAGATGCAATCTCAATTTCTTGTAAATACTACGTATACTTATTAATTCATGTAACATTGACAAACATAAATACCAAACAAGGTACAATGACTTTCTCCTTATCTATAATAAAATGAACTATACACATACACAAATCTCGTAGTGCATGTATAGCTGTGACCAAATCTTTATTGTTTCTATCAACAATCCCGTCTTTAGTCACGTTTGCACGACCTATAGCCTGCAATAGTCGTTTACTTTTCCGTTGATCTTTGAAATTAAACAAATCCCATAAGATTTTATTAATGTGTTGGTAGTGTCACCTGGTGCACAGCAAGCCTCCACCATTTCACTTTTGTACGCGTGCCTGAGAGTTAAACGGTACCGGTTCAATTCAGTACTAGTAAGCTTGAAAATCTACCCGTCATATGTGTCAGCAATATGCAACGTCAACAGTTATTAGTACAATTGAAGCCTTCCTTGATATTATCAGTTGCTTCCATATGGTTTTCTTTTCAAAGAGTTGTGAATAATATGCTCATCCAGGTAAGCAAATGAGTCTTTGCAATCTACTACTGTAAGATTCCCGATCACAGATAACGATCGGCAGTTAAGGCCGATTTTATCTCTTAACCAGGTGTGCAGCGGCTAATTACAAAAGCCTTTAAAGGAAATCAACCAGGTAAATAACTCAACTTCACTGACACAAGTGGTCAGGAACTGTGAAGTATGATATCTTCGGACAAAGTCTGCCAACTTTTTCATAGAAGTCAATGCGATCCGCCATGTTGCCACATTTGTTTTACCCCAGATGCCGGTTGCTAAGGTAAAGTGCCCGGATGACCGACTGTCCCTATCTATGAGAATGGGGTGTAAGGCTCTGAATATAAGGTTCCAGATATGATTAACCTCCCTGATGTGCATACAACCTATTACTGGCATACATTTAAGTGGCACCATTCACAATAACCAGCACTACCATAATCTTTACTCCCTTCTACACCATAGGAACAATATCTTGGACAGAGCCAAACCCAGGTCATCCCCTTCCCCCAGGCTGACACTATAACAACAATCCCACCTGGGCTCCCCTCCTGCCCCCACTCCAAATGCAGACCAAACACCACAATTCCAATCACAGTACCTGATGAAAATACTCCTACTTACATTCTTCCCCCATACACAGACCACATGCTGCTTTCTCCTGCCACTCTTCTCTTCAGGGCCACTGTCTACCTGAACTTTCCTCAGCTCATATATGTTGACCACTGTGAGGAATATCCCAAAGGCAAATATCCCTGCCACCATGTACAGCATAGTGTTGCCACCTTTACCCTTGCTTTGTAGACGGTGGAGAACATCTGCACTCTACAATAAAAGATAACTATCATAAATACATACATAAAAAATTGAAAATGAAAATCTGTAGTTATCCCTTTTATCTAAACTCATCCTGAGTTTTGATTTTTCAGCATGTACTGCCTCCCTTTACAAAAATATGCTTGAAAAATAAAGTTAACTGAATTTAATGAGATACACATAGTGTATAGTATCTGCATTAACGTCAAAGGAATTTGTTAAGTGAAACTTTATGAGAAGTAAACAGTTTATCCTCAAGACATTTATGCCAAGAATTTTTCATAAATTACTAGAATTGACATTAATTGAAATCTTTATGACTTTTAAGTATTCTTTAAGTGTTTTTGGCATTAACATCAGTCTGTTATAAATGTCAAGTACTTTAACAGATTATGTACAGTGAACATGAATAGGCAAGGATTATTTTTCACCAAGAATGCTTTTTTTTTTTGACAATAATTTTTACTCTTTGATCAAAATTGTAACCGAAAAAAAAAATTATGAAACATACCAAGATAAGTATTTTATCTGTATATAGATCAGCTCTGATAAATGAGTCATTCCGCAAATAAATGTGAAAAGCTTTTGCTAGTAGTAAGTTGTTGAATTAACTTAAGATTTTTCACTGACATTTCTTAGGCAAAAGTGCATATATATCTTTGGAGCATGAAATAATATTTCCCTTTTTTGAAAAAGCTTACAATTTATCCAACAGCTTCATTGGCCTCAGCATTCAATAAAATTGACATTTTTTTTTACTAGATTTTAGACCTGAGGGCCAATTTGGGCCGCCTCACTAGAAAAAAGATACATAATTTCTTAGTCAAAGAGTCTGTATCTTCAAAAGAAGAGGTCATTAGCCATGAGAGTAAGTACTTGAATACCCCATAGATGTGCTTATAACAACCATGCACTAATTCACAGATAATTACATAAGCCATAGCATGTTTTTAAGTAAATTATTTACATGTAGGTATTGCGATTTTTGGTGACATATTTAACACAAAATTTTTATGGACTGATATGATTTCTGGTGTGATATCAGGACTCAAAATCTGCTCTGGGTGTATGCATGTAGGTCATACAGATGGGAGCTAGGATAGCTGTAGGGTATGCTACTGTGAAATATTTTTATTATATTGGTACAGCACATGGCTCTCAGCAATGTACTACCCTTACACTCTAATATTGGAATGTCTGGCATGATATGAAGCCGAAAGCAAAGAATGATAAATAAATATGAACTACCTGAATACTTACATAACGAGGCAGGAAAGATCGGGACTTCATTCTCTCACTGGTCCTCTGAAAATGTATTAAATAAAATCAAATTATGTCATTGGTTTTGCGCATACTAGTATTCTCATTGTCGAAACTGGTGACGGCAGGCCCTTGCGTGCACAGTACAGTACACTGTACTGCAGTCTGTACACTTAGTACATACATTGGAATTACTCCGATGTTTTAGGTGACCGATCTCTCTTGTGGCATGTCAAACAGCACTTGCCTACGTCGTTAAAGAAAAATACATTAGTAGAACTGTTTGGTTATACTATTATTTATCATAAAATACTGTTCCGCTTACTGTGTCCAGGTCGTCTTCCTCCTCCGAATCCCGATCCTTTCTCCTGCTATACACGTTTACATCCATTTAAAGAAGCATCTCTACTTAAGAACAATTATAAGTGTTGAAAGCGCTCTAAGAAATCCTAATCAGCCGCTTCATCGCTGCAATTTCAGCCACTTGTGACAGGTGACTTGCATATTTGATTTGAGAGAGTGATAAGAAAGCGGCACACGCTTCAAAAGATATCGAGGTCACGCATGCAAAAAATGAGGTCACCTAAGAGTCGTGTGATTTTAACGCTGTTTTTGCTTAACTTTAACCTCACCTGGATGTTATACGACCAAAAGAAGATGGGAGAACTGACTTCAAAATTCAATACTGTTGTATGATGACGTGGTCCTGGAAATTAAGCATAATTTCTGGATGTGATTTGTTTAGCAGACAGCAGGGGGTACCTTTTGGCTCTTTTAAAGCAAATTAAAGAATTCACCGTAAGATGGTACCAGCACCGCACAAATGAAAAAATTAAAACAAACATTAAATTCAGATTTGCTGTCATCAAAAAATATTTTTGGCAAAAAAACATAATAAATACATACCTCGATCAACATATTATAAAGTAAATTCATTTAAATTTTATTACATTCCTTATTTTAGATATATCTGACGTCAGTGTTTAGGGAAAAGTTATCCAAGATCAATAGAAAACTTTGTTCGTCGTTGCCTACCGTAATTGCGATAATGAGCGGATACCTAAGTTCAAAAGGGAGCTAAAAGGCTGGTAAGCTAACTTTTCTTGCACAAAATTAATGTATTAGTCAAGTTGGGTCTATTTTGGTACTTCGTAAACATGTGCGTGCTCGGTAACTAGGCAGTCAAATATTATTTTAACAAGCCGGGTGGCTATTCAAATGCTTGAATAAAGTAAACTGTATCAGTATTAAGCTATAGCATAGCAGGAAACGGTCAGCTCTGTCCATTACCGTTCTTTGGATTTAACAATTTTTTTCAACTGGTAAGTTTTTAGACTTTTGGGGCGTTTCAGGCGTTAAGTAATGGTATGCATATTTACTTTTTAGAAAGTTCCTTAAAAGTTAAATTGAAGCCAATTAATTTTATTTATATACCTTATTTCATTTGTTGCTATCGCACATATTATCATGATATATCGTAAATTATTGTCACTTGTGATTTATGGCCAGAGGCCTATTTACAGAGATAAAATTGATATAGTCGAAAGCCAATTAATCTAATTGCAATTGAAAATAATTAGAGGATCATGGTAAACCTACTTAAGGTGCATTTGACATTCATTTGGTGTCTGTTTTGTACACTTTTACTTATTGGGCCAATGCATATTAATTGTAGGCTATTCACAAATACACAAGAACATTTTTCAGTTGTATCTTTTTTTTCTATTAATTTTGAAAAATTGCTAGTCTTTGTTCTGAATAAAAAAAATTAGACATATATAATTTAACATTATATTTTAAATTCAATGCAATATCAAACAAAACACTTTTTTCAAAAGGAAGTGTATATATTTTTTTCAAAATTGACATGTTTCTTTTTTCTTCATTTTGAAATATCAAAAAATACAAAATATATAATGATGCCTTTAAGTGGGCAATAAAGTATGTATTGCATATTATAGACTATTGTTATACATGCTTTACCTCAACAAATATTGCCTTTTTGTTGTATGAGAATTTTGTTTAATCCAGTCAACAGATTTATTACAATTTTCCGTTTTTTTTTTCATGGGGATGTTGAATTTGTTACACTGCTCTGTCAAATGATGTAGCTATTTTATTCACAGTGTTTAAATAATAGTATGCATTATACCATACAAAAATATCCCCAATAATCATTTTAACTACAGTTTACAATGTTACAATAGAATGTGTTTTCTTTGTTGATTTATCCTGAATTGAGGAAGAGCTAAATTTTGGTCTTAACTTCCTTTGTGAAAGCAGCCCCAGATTCATGCCAAATTTGATATTTGTGACCGTGAATACTGTGTGTAATTGAAAAATGTGATGGGTTATTGGATATGGAGCCAGTGTGGTATCCACCATTAAGTCACAAACTGTTTTCATTAATCAGAGTAATGTGACATTCTGAAGCTTATGAGATTATTCAACACGATTCTGTGTCATGATGGTGAGGGAGGTGAGGGTTGCATACATTCACTTTTGGAATTTATGTTTGATTTCAGTGAATAGGAAAATTCTATCAAAATCACTGTGGTAATGTTCAGAAATTTAAAATCCAAATAGATTTTAAGATATCAGTTGATGCTCAATTATCACTTAAAAGAAATGTGTTTAAATTGAACTTTTTAGATTTGGTGTATTAGGGTTTTTTCAGTTTATATATTGTCACAAAGTCAGGGTGTCATTTACCCCTCATTCCCTGCCTCTCTACCCCAGCTCTGGGAGAAAGGTAGTGGTAATGAAGCGAAGGCCTTGTTGCCATGGTGAAGGGAATACTAGTAGCTTACTTTGTTGATTATACTGTAATGTACCTGGAATGTTAAAATCAGATTGGAGATTTCTTGCTTTGTCTGAGTAATTTTATGGAGCTTTGCTGCTTTTCTGTCTACACTTTTTTTAAAGATCTTTAGTGCTTAATAAAGGTTCTATTTAAACATACTGAATGTTATCTTGATGCTTTTTATTTCACTCATTTATTGCACTGAATGTTTCATTTGATGAGGGATATTGGAAAGCTGTCATAATTAAATAAGATAATGTATCATGTGGTTGAATTAAAATTTTTATATTGTAATCAGCAAAACAATAAAAAAATGCTCTATTTTGATGTAAAATGCATCATACATTCTTGTAATTGAAACGTATTGCACACAGTCACATGCCTGTTCACCCTCACATACATGCAGAGAGAGAGAGAGATTCTGTGTGCTTTTTAGTTAAATATAGATAAAACACCCAGACCTGTAAATGTTAACATCCCTAATTCTCATTTCAGGTAGCTGTTGGGAGGAATATTAAAGTCTTCAGTTCTGATGCCGCTGACGTCAGGTCTCGCCATGCCACGGCAAGGGCCTGGTTTTGCCGTTCCCAGCAAACTACTACAGAAAAAATGGGAGGACAGAAAATACAAAAGTCACATGGACAAGGTATGATTAATTAATGCACTCGGAATAAATTGGGTAACTTTTAAATATGCATGTGCTAACAACACAATAAAAAGGGGGAGGACAGAAAACACAGAAGTCAAATGAACAGTGAGTCCTCAGTGCTTTTAGATTTCTTCAGGGACTTTCTGAGAAAGGTCTACCACATGAAAAAATCATACTATATGAAAATGTATTCATATGAAAGTAGGTGAAATGAAATGTTTAGTACTGTCAACCTCTGTGTCCATGTACATTCTACTAGGGTCACAGATTGTTTTGGGATTTTTTGTCTAATTTGAGTGCGGAAAAGTCCCATCCTTTCACTAGGGACATATCTGTGAATATATAATGAAAAAAATTGATCTGTGGCCCTGGTACATTATGTAGTATACATGCCTCTTTGATACCATAGTGAAATAAATGCAGATATGCAGTTAATATTTTGCTTAAAGCGACTCGGGTAAAAGCCCATGTTGCATGCAATATGTTTGGCATATATTTCTTTGATAGATAAAAGTCTTAAAAGCTAGCACATATGTATGTAGATATTCAGAGCTCACTTTAAAAATTCTTCTTTGATTGACAGGTTTATTTGTATTTCAGTCATATCATTTTGTGGTTTAATCTGTTAACTTCCCAAAGCAATGAACTTAATTGCATAATAAAGCCTTCAAAGGTGTGTTGAAACCCATATTAAATTCATTTTGAGGACATGATTATGAGTAGAAGGAGGGTTTGATCAGAGATTTTAGCACATTCAAGTGCTTGTGTGCTAGGTTTGCTCAGCCCTTGCCTACCCAAGCACAAGCTGTTAGCTATTGCACAAATCAAACGAACAAGTCTAATAAAGTGCCGTGTATTGAATCTGGGGTCAAATAGAAATTTGTAGACATTTTAAGTTTGCAAATGTCCAACTTTTCAATAGAAACCTCTGTAAGTGAAAAATCACCAATTTAAATAGCAGACTGTTTTATTGAATTAATCGACTTAATAGGGCCCTATTTGTATGGCAAACAACACAAAGGGCAATTGTCTGAACTTCACAACTTATACTTGTACATAAGGTCACATTACCATGTCCAGTAAAGTGAAAAATTCACATGTACTTATTAGAATATTAATATTGGGCTACATGTTGTTCCTTTATAATCTGGCATTTTCATAGCGGTGAAATTAGGTGGTTGAAAAAATAAGGCGGCAGTTTATGGTTTAGGCTATAGAAAAACAGTGAAGCTATGCCAGAAATGCTTGATGTTTAATCATTACTGCTTCCCTTTTTGATCTTTGTTTTCCAAAACATCAAAAATGTATTATTAAACTACATAAATCATATAAGTATATACATTTCCTGAATAAAAAAAGGAAGTTTCCTATTGATCGATCAGCACATATCCGTATCAGATGGCACTTCAGTGTTGTGCTGTACAGGAAAAGCTGATGTAGAGTTTCACATGCTTAAAGATGGAAAGACTCTTGTTTCTGTGCAACAGTTAATGAATTGGGGATTATTGGTGTAATAAAAGTATTCAGTGCACTGTGGTAGTATGCGCGGTCACAAGTGCTGACTATATTAAATTTTTACAGTAATTACATCTTTTCAATGGGGAAAAAATTATCAAACTTTCAGATACATACAGATACACAACTTTATAATCACAAAATTATATTTGTATATAGCATTTGTGGTGCTTTTACTACATAGAATTGAACAGTAGAGTAGCCTTTTTTTACCACTCAATAAGAATGTTCTGATTTTAAGAAAGTCACAATTTCCTCCCATTTATAAGATTAAGTTACAGTACTTTATATGATTACATTCATAACATTACATAAAACTCTTATTTCTGTGTAAGAAATACGATGTCTTCTCAGTGACAGAGAGGGGGGGTATCAAAAAATATTAATTGGATTAGGTTTTTTAGAAAACTTTTTGAGGTTACAAGATAACGTAACCAAGGAGTTATAACAGAAGGAGATTACACGCAAGCCTCTCTATTGTCCGATGTCTGTTACGGTGGGCGGAGCTAGCTACGGGGGGCCTCCTGTCTCAAGGTTTCGTCTGGGTCGCTCTCCTCCGCTCGGAGATTGATTTTATATGCGTTA